CTCCTCGTGGTGGAACACCCCTTCCCCACCTCCACCCCCAATAGAAATACCAGGAGCACCAATCTTAGCTTTCCGAATCTCAAAACCTAGGTCCTTGAAGTACTCAAATCAAGGATTTTCAACTGTTTTTCCTCCTCCATCATAACACATGTCCACAAGATTCCAAATCCCCACAAGGAGGGCCCTGAACTAATAAGAGCTCCACATATGAGTTTGACCTTCAACTTGGTTTGGGACAACCAGGCTAGACTATCTCTCATCATTCCTTGTAGGACTTGGAATCTGATTTTATTACTTTAAATCATTACAAAGCTTTATCTTTGAGGTTTGGCCGTCAAATCTGTAATATATTTCTCATGTTGTTAAATCTTTGGTCAAAACCATAACCCTTAACCACAACAGTGATTTTTGGGGGGCAAAGCAAAATTTACTTTTTAAAGAATGACTTTATAATGTGACTTCCAGCAATGAATTGTAATAAGTAAGGGGACTACCTATAGAGGAAAAAATTCTTTTTACTCCTAATGGTAACATTTATTCACTGAACTACAAAGATAAAATATAGATGCAGAAGCCCTGATTATACTAGGAGATGAGGGACATTCTACAGAATATGTGGCTAGTGCTCCTCAAGACTGTCATGATCAATGGAAACAAGGAAGGAGTAAGACATTCTCCAGACCAGAGAAAACTAAGAACATGCCAATTATTGTGTCCTAGACAGAATCCTAGAACAGAAAAAGGACTTTAGAGAAAAAAACTAGTGAAATATGGGGGTGGAGGGGAGTGGGGGGGGGAGGGGGAGTACACCAGTGTTGGTTTCTTAGTTGTAACAAATATAATAAAATACTGTAAATGGGACATCTTTGCAACTTTTCTAGTACCTTGAAAACCATTCCAAAATAATGTTATTAAATAATAACTACATTAGCAAAGATCATATTAAATTTACCTTACATATTCTCTATTCTGTGATATTTTAACCAGCTGTTTGCCTTCTGTAATCTGAGAAGGACAGGACCTCTGCACAAATAAGATCCCTCCTTTCTGAGCATGTGTTCCATCTCCAGTTACTTTCCACTGTCTGGTCAGTCACCTTGCCTGCAACCCGGATCAGAGAAAGAACCTTCTGACCTCAGGTCAAGGACCAGATATCTATCCCTGACTTGACCAAGATAGGTACATAATCCAATCTCAGTGTCACCTGCAAATAATGAAACACTTGTCACTGTCTAATTTG